TTTCTGCACTAGGATGATTCTGTCCCATCATGTCTTGTTTGGGCGATCCCAGCACCAGGTTACCCATTGTGTTCACCTGGTGTCATGACCTTCCCTCAGGGGTTTTCTCTCGAGGGGAGCAGGTTTAGAGTAATGTTGAGTGGGAGTGAACGGTCCTCATACTCGAGGGACTTGCCCTCGTTTGGGGTGGGTTTTTCCCAACCCTTACCTCGCGCAATATTGGGAAATTTGATTTGATTCTAATCTTCGCAGGAAGTCCTAGCTTATTTAAAGTCGCCACTGGCCTATTGGTTAAAGGAACATTGCAAAACATGGGCCAAACGTCACAAAAGAAGAGCAAAGAATGGGCTCAACACATCAACCAACATTTAAAACTAAAATTCAGAATTAGGCCTTAGTACCCTAAAATTACCGATTTTTGTAATCTGTCATAAGCTCAGTCTAATGTGATCCAATTTAAATGAGACAGACACGGGTTTAGAGCTTAGAATGTCTATTTTAATTCCCTAGTTAACGAATTTTTGAGATAGATCCCACATTTTCTCGAAATTAAGGATTAAGCCCAACTAGTGAGACTGAAGCCTGCACTTAAATCGATAGTTTACAAGCCTATTTGACCTATCAAACCAACCCAGAAAATTCTAGCATTTATATGGCTGGAAAGCTCTTGAAGCCATCTAAAACTCTCTAGTTGACCACATTTTAATATTTTCACATTTGGGGCCTATAAATGAATCAATAAATGTTAGGTTCGAGGAAAGTTAGCAAACAACAAAAGCTATTGAGAAAGATAAACCTACTCATTATGTAGAGACATTTGTCTCTGAGTCTGAACATGCCTAGAGAAGAACAAGGATCCATTCCAGTATTATTTTATCATTGGATTGGAAATACAAATCAAGTCACCCTAAAAAGTATGTTCTTCGTGATATAAGCGAAGATATCAAAACAAGATCTTCGTTCAAAGAACTTATGAACACACTAGCATTAATTTGCAAAATAGAACCTAAAGAAGTTGAAGAAGCATTAGTAGACGAAAATTGGATTGAAGCATTGCAAAAATAACTGTACCAATTCAAGGTAAATGAAGTTTGGGAGCTTGTGCCAACACCTAAATATCCTTAAGTAATTGGAACAAAAATGGGTTTTTCGGAACAAGGCGGATGACAAAGGGAAGGTGGTATGTAATAAAACTAGGTTAGTAGCAAAAAGTTATTCTCAAGAGGAAGGTATTGATTACGATGGAACCTATGCTTGTGGGGCTAGACTAGAAAGTAATCAGATAATTACTTGCATATGCTTGTTATAGTTTTGATTTTCGGGAGGTGATTTTGGTTTGGTGGTGGTGATGAGTGTTGGGATAACTTCCTATGATACTTTGAAGTTGACAAAACTATCTATTTTTCAATATTATTCGATAAATGCATATGTTATTTAATATCAAGTAATATGGATATAAAGGATACTCTGTCGTCATTGATGGAATTCGAAGTACAAAGTGAGATGATTAATGGAAGTTGAATAGACTCTCGTGAAGGATATATAAGTCGAGGAGAACGGGAAGTCCGTGAAGATTGGAGGTACTATAACAAGATGAACAACTGAGTGAAGTTTTAATCACTAATGTAACAAGGAGAACTAAATTGGGAGCAGCTCATACGTCTACTATTGGTAGAAAGCTTGGATAGACTCATGAGAAGCTGATGGAAGCAGCTCACTATATCAAATATGGGAAGATATTCTTCACGTGGATTATGCAATCTGAATAAGAAGATCCAGATATTTTTTCGACTAATGTCGTAGGTCAATAGGAAATTAACAGTTAGGCTCAGACTTGGAAATCCAAAAGGAATATTTGAAGCAGAATCAATTGATTATTATCAATTTGGTAGAATGGACTATTACCAAATATAATCGACTCTAATTGGGGATTGTTCTAGAAGATTTGATTGTACGGGCAACCATATATCCAATGATTGTGTCCACCATCTCCAACGACAAATTGATTTTCTTGAAAGTTGTCCAACGGTTAGTTTGAAGATCAAAGATTATATAAGAGACTCAACACATGCTAAAGGACATACGAGATGAGAAAGCTACTTTGATATAGTCACATTCACTTTGTGTGACAAGCGTGATTTTATTCTCGTGTCATACTTTGTTGAGAGTTGTCAATACTCATAATAATCCTTGCTTTGAGAAGTATACAATTGTGTGAGTAGTGTTGAGTTATTGATAGTGTGATTTATCAATTTTGGGTAGAAACATCACATGCTAAGTTGTAACCACTAAAGGAATTTCTAGCGCATTCCAACCTCTTGGTGGCTGTTAGAGAAAGTGGACGTAGACTTGATCATGAGCTGAGCCACTGTAAGCTTTGTATGCATAATCTTCTATTTCTTTTCTTATCTTGTCCTATATTTCATCCTGCACTCAATATTCCTGCATATATCAAACTAGTTCTGCATATATCAAAATTTAATTTGTTTTCTTACGTAAACATTGTCAAGTTTTTCAAAATCAACCGATTTACCCCCTCAATGTTTGAGATTAGCTACAACAATGAGGGTTTTTGTGGGAAAAGTAAAGTCCTAAACCTATTACATTGGTGTTAATTTAGTCTTCAACCTTTTTTTTATGCTAATTCAGTCCTAAACCTTTTGTCTTTGTGCCAATTCAGTCCTTCCGGTTAATTTTGACTAGATTTTGCTGATGTGGATGCCAGTCAGCTTATGTGGTACTACCGGCGATAACGTGAACAACTTTTAATAATATTTTAATATTTTTTGAAGTTTTTAAATATTTTTTTCTTTTATTTTTTTTTTCTTTTCCTTTCTTTTTCCTCCAGCCGGTCGCCGTTCCGGTGAGCCCCGCTGGCCGCTGGCGAGGCTTGCCCTCACCAGTGGCCTCGAGGTCGCGGCCTTTGCCAGCGGCTGGGTGAGGCACGACCTCACCGGATTCGGCGAGGGCGAGCCTTACCAGCCCAGCGCGAGGCCGCCCTTGCGGCTAGTCGCTGGCAAGGGCTTGAGCCTTTGCCAGTGACCGCGAGGTTGCGGAGGGAGCCTCGCCAGTGGCCGCCGAGCTCACCAACCCTGGCCTCTAGCCGGTCGCCGGTCCAGGAAGAAGAAAGAAAAACAAAAAAAAAAAGAAAAGAAAAAAAGATTAAACTATCGAAAATATTAAAATATTATCAAAAGTTGTCCACATCATCGCCAGTAGTGCCACGTAAGTTGGCCGACGTCCACGTCACTTAAATCCGGTCAAAATTAGCCGAAAGGACTGAATTGGCATAAAAAAAAAGTTTAGGACTAAATTGGTACAAATATAAAAGATTTAAGACTTCTTCAATACTTTTTCCAGGTTTTTGTGGTGGAGACCCTTTAGGAGCAGTATAAGAGACAAGATAATGATCTTTTCCCTAGTCTTCCCCAAGAGTCCCAATAAATATATCATCTTCTTCATGACTCTAGAAAAATTCTTGCTTAGATCAGCCTTTCTTCTTCGTTAGAGTCGAGTAGTCATCATCTTCTGTTGGTGACAGACAATCATTACATTGGCAATCAATATTCCAAAAGCTATGTCCTGCGTGTGGATTTTCAAACCATACGGAGAGCCTTCACATTCTGAAGACTTGATGATCTTCTCTGAAGGACATTGAGCTGGCATGAATGCGTCATCTAAATAGTCAGGAAAATTGAGGAAGATTCCTCCTTTTGTCTGGGAATGGTCAAACTTGATGGACACAAATCCATCCCTTTTCTTGATCGGGATCTGCAGACCGGATCGGTCTGAATATTCTGATGGAGCTTTTCATAATTTGTCAACAAAGGGTCATGAAGGATTTTGACCAACTCAGATGTCACAATATTTTGGGGCACATAGACACAGCATGGCATCTGATTGTTATCGACAAAAATGAGAAGTACATCTTCGCTCCAGGCAGAGCAAGTTTGATGGCGTGATTTTGATTTCTATATGCCATATGGTAATGAACAGTTGCTGCTATGGAATTTGGAGTTTGAGGAGCGGCGGTAATCTGCATTTGGACCTTCAATGCCGAAAGGAGCCTTGGATCTGAAAAGGCCATGTTGAAATTTGGAAATAGGGCAACGAACGAACAAAGATGATTTACGTGTCTATTGTACCAATACAAGGGGTAATGGTAATCAAGAAAATTGAGACTTTCTGCCATGAAAACCATGAGATGATTTTGCTTAGCATTAAGCGTGGACATATTTAATTAAGAAGGCAATTGGAGTCTGGAAAGATTTGAACTCAGGACCTCCAGATCTTATACCATGTGAACTGTTTTAAAAGATTAGATGAAGGTGTGGTTTAATATTTAATTACTCTAAAAGAAACTATGGTTTAATATTTAATTACTCTAAAAGAAACCGAAGGCAGGGTGTATGAAGATGAGTCTATCCCGGTTGTATTCATCGACGAGGAAATTCATGAGAGATCTGGAGTGTAATAAACTGTTATTGCTAAGTAACGTGGATAGAACCATTAGGGTTTGCTCCAGTGGTCACCCTTCTTACTTGGGAAGGGGAAAGTGGAGAGTTCGAATCTCCACCTTCTCAAAGGGGTTAGGGGTGGGGACTCACGCCCTGCAAGAGGTAGGGCAAAAGTCTGAAAAGTGAAATAAAAAAAAAAAGTAGCGTGGATAGGTGCTAGTCAAATCAAATGGATTGGACCTATTATGTCACTTAATCATTTCAAACAATTTACTGCCCTAATAAATATCATATATATTTAGGCATAATTAAAACGGACTGCATTAACGAGAAAAAAATCAGTCCATCCATGGAAAACTGCAAAATCTTCCTATTTGATTTCTTAAAAAGTGTTTCGGAATATTCATAAATGAAGTCAAATATCTATGCAATACCCGAAGCGTATCGCTCTTAAATCACATAATTACTTCTTCTGGTCTATCTGACCTGAAGAACGAGTAGATAACAGAAATCCCTTCTCCCTATCACAAATATACTGGCAGGATACTTTTATGTTGTAGAATTGAAATGAAGAGTCTTGAGACTCTGATAAAAGATCTATCTGGACATGTACAGCTCTGGAGTGGACAATCTCGGTCTGGGAATGGCAACCAGGGGATTCATTTTCTTGACCACAATCCCGGACTTGTCCGATAATTCCAGCTCCGCCCCTCGCGGTAGTTCCCACTCGAACGAATGCAAAAGAGAGGCCAAGACATACTTTAGCATCCTCTCTGCCAGCGGAAGCCCTGCACATATCCTCCGACCGGAACCGAAAGGCATGTATGTGAAGTTGTTGCCCGAGAGATCATACTCATGGGGATCTTCCAAGAACCTCTCGGGTCTAAACTCCGACGGTTTGTCCCAAATCTTGGGGTCCTTGTGGATATAACCCATGTTCAAGAATATGTTACTGCCTTTTGGTATCGTGTAACCCCCGATAACACAGGAAGCATGTGGGGTCCGAGGCACCAATAAGGGCAGCGCCGGATGCAAGCGAAATGCTTCCTTGATGACAGCGTTGAGGTACTTCAATTCGGGCAAGTGGTGCTCTTCGACCATCTTATCCTCCCCCACGACTTCTGTCAATTCGTGGACTGCTTTGTTCATCAGATTTTGGTTCTGCAGCAACTCTGCCATCACCCACTCGACCATTGTTGCAGTTGTATCGGTACCACCAACTATGACGTCCTATTCCACACATTTGAGGTTTCATCAGAAAGCATAAATTGCTGTAATGTTTGATAAAGCTGAATACTTAATGAAACACTCTAATAGAAAAGAATCGACGTTCTAGCCAAAATATGGAGCTTTTTGTAATGGAGAGGGCAAGGTTGGACACAGCCTACGTTTGACAATGGGATGCGAAATAAGAGTTGTGGAAAAATATTTAAATCTTGACATGTTACAAGTAAATTCATCCAAAAATTGGCACACAATCATTGAAATACCTTTGCATTATATCAACTTTGCTATACTGGTTCACTATAAGACCCTGGTTGAAAATTATGGTGCTCTGGGGCTGATATAAATTTGAAAATGAGTGTGATACTCTAGTAATAATCGCTCATTAACTCATGATTATGGTGGCCGAAATATGAAATGACATCTACAAAAAACAGAGTCCGCAGACGAGGATTAACTATATTTTCTGGTGCATGAAGTCAATAAACTTACTGTAAGAAACTTTTATGTATATCCTTATAAGAACTAGTCAGCTAGCTTAATCAAATTACCGTAAGAATGGCTTTGAGTGCTCCAGTCTTGTCCATTGGAGACTGATCATCTTCAAGTTCCATCTCCATGTCCAGGAAAATCTGCAAAAAGTCCTTTCTTTGTTCATTGGTTTTAGATTCTCCTTCCTTCTGCTCGAACAGCTCATTTGTTCTTCCTTTAGTGGCGCAATCTACAACAGACTGAATAAAGTCATCAAGCCACTGATGCACCCTTTTAATGTCCCTTTCCACTCCTTGCAGGTCAAGCCAAGCGAGTGCCGGGAAAAAGTCCGAAACATTCGGACTACCTACGAGCTCCATGAGTCTGGCCACCACCTTTCGAAACTCGGCGCCCATAGCTTTGCACTTGTCTCCCTTAAGCGTTCCGCCCCACAGCATCGCCATCACCACGTTAATCAAGAGCAGAAGGGTGAATTCGCCGATATCTACTGGGACCCCGGATCTTCTATACAGATCACTCAGAGCTTTCCTGACTTCCTGCCTTCTCAAATCATAACAGGCATCAAGGCTCTCATTGCTCATTATCTGCCGTATGAACAATTTGCGGAGACTCCTCCAATAAGGCCCCTGGCTTGAGAAGGTAATGTCCCTTGCGCCGTATGTTGCGATGGTAGCAGCGATATTCGGGTCCCGATTGGCGAACATCATGTCCTGGTCCCGCACAATTTCTTTGCCCAGCGAAGCGGAGTTAACCACAATATATAACTTGCTTCCAAGCCGGAGTTTGTAGATGGGGCCATAGGTCTCAGCCAATTCAGCGAATTTCCGGTGGAGATGGGTCCCTAGGAATGGGAGGTACCCAAGGAATGGCATGCCTCGGGGCCCTGGCGGCAATGGAGCCATCGTGTTTTTCCGCCTCCTGAACCAAGCGAAAAAAATAAGAGCTGCGATTGCTATGACAAGCAGTGTGGTAGTTGCCCTAGGAGTTGCATCATTGGCTTCTTTAGCATGCCACAACCATGGCCAGGGGCTGTCGGAGTCTCTGTTCGACATTTCAGCTTTGTCACAACGGGAAGAGGACTGGTGGAGCAAGAATGAGGAAGTTGCTAGCCACACTAAACAGTTTTTCTGGGGACAGTTTGGTCTCTGATAGATGATATAGGGGGATGTATACACCATAAGTGTCAAAACTTTCATAAGGCGCTTACTTGAGTGCTATAACTTCTAAAAAAACGTTCATTTGAGTGCCATAACTTTGAATTGATTACTTAAGTGCCATAACTTTTAAAAAGTGTTCACCCAAGTGTCGAAAATCTGACGTGGCATAACACTTGTGGTGAACATTTTTAAAAAGCTGTGGCACTCAAGTGATTATATGGGAAGTTATATGACATTCAAGTGATCTGAAAAAAAATTATGACCCTCAAATGAGTGCCATACATAAGTTATGATACTCAAGTAATTGAAAAGAAAGTTATGACACTCAAGTGAGCGTTGTACGAAAGTTTTAAAATTTGTGGTGTCTTTTTCCCTGATATAGGAAAGTCTGTTGAGGAAAATCAACCGTTCTATTTAGACACACAGACATAGCAATAGTTATTGTATGTAGTTAATATTTTATGTAATCAGTAACTTTCATGATTAGTAATATTTCATATAAAATGTAATTTTCTATAGTGAGTTTCTTATAGTCCCGCATGAAAAAAGAAACACGACAAGTTGGAAGGTTACTAATAATTTCTATAATGTGATAGTGAGTTTCAATATAGAAGAATAAGAACTTACATGAGGCTAGTAACTTATTCACACGATTAGTAAATTTTTGCGTTAAAAATGTAACTACCAGCGACCCGGTTTACTTAAAAGAATGTTAGGTGTCGGCAACCAATAGCTAATGCCCCCACTCTGTCTAGGAAGTAACAATCAAAGCTTCTTTTTCTCAGGAGATGCAAATAAAATATTAATTAGGTAAGATACGAGCAATCTTCAAGCAAAGCATGATTCAAATAAACAACTCAAGCTAGAAGATATTTTGCATGTTGATTGAGAAATATGAGTTTTAAATACATGCTTTGGAAGCATCACGGATCTGCTTTTCCCCTGCTGGGCCATGGGGTTGATGCCGCACTTGGCGTTGAATAGGTTTGAAAGGGCAAAAAATATGTTAGATGATTGAAGGATTGGAATGATTAGGATAAGAGAGATACGAAGTGGACGGCATTGTCATTTTATTGAAAAGTGACGGTTTACTATTGACCACAAAATCATTTCCTAAGGGGGCCTATGATTTGAATCACGAGAAACGGAGACAAAATCTGTGGCAGGTATACTATTCCATACTGATGACTCTCCTGGCCTACTAAAGGGGCTGCCTTTTGGTCACTAGATTCCTTTTCGAATTTGATTTATACCATAGATTAGCCTCATTATAGCAGAATTCTAATGCACAGATTCCACGTAGTGGCAAGCGCGGAGCATACAATCAGGATTAACCAGAACAAGCATTCTTCTTTAGAGAATCATACAAGGTTTTCAGAAAGAGCGGGAAAGTGTTTAGGAATTCATAGAGTGCTATCAAACAAGTCTGTAAACTTCACTCCTTACTCCATATTGATTACGTGGTTGGCCTCATATAGGCACAACATTGGGCATTTATAGACATTTTACACATCAATAAGACATAGTGGACTCAATAATACGGACTTCTGGATCATCACATGGGATGCTTCATTTGGTACAAACTTAGTGGCCTATGATACAAACTAGGCACTGTCACACTCACGGATAACGAGTTTATTCAAGGTCCTCAGAGTCGTTTCCTTCATGTGAGTTGTCTGTTTTCATTTGAAATTTCTTGATGAGCTCTTCGATTTTCCATACTGCAATGATTTGCCCTGAGGGGTCCGCTGGAATCTCATTATTGATCCTTTGGATGTATTCAACACAATCCGATGGGCGCACCTTTTGAGGATTCTTAGACAAGCAAAAAATTTTTGGTGGAGAATGACGGGAGCTTGATGGTATATTTGGTGGGGCTCATAGGGACATCGGATGGCATTATTGGCTAGGGCCAATTTTCTGACTGATAGGAGGGTACTGCACTGAGCGACAGCTATAATTCTCCATAATCATAAGGATTTTGAGAGAATGGTCCTCTCCATGAATCTTGAGATGGTGATGCCTGTTCTCGAAAATTGGAACGATGATGGTCCTTCTCCTGGGTTTGGATTATTATTTTTTGAACTTTTCCAATGCTTCATTGATTATTGGCTTGTTTTTTGAGATAATCCCAAAAATAATCTCAAGGAACTTCACGGTCTTGCTCTATTGGCCATATCTCTGGAGGAATAACACGATTGCTCTTACGAAGAATTCTTTGGATTTTCCAATATTCTTTTGGATGGGATCCAATATAGTAGAGTAGAGTCTTGTAAAGCTTGTCTGGAACTATCTATTGTTTATACACTTTTACCCCAATCTGTGCTGGATACCTGGACATGTCTCCACTTGGTTTGACAAATGTCGATGGCCTGTAAAAGAAGCATATAGTATGCAATTTAGAAATTGGATGTAATATCTCACTCTAGATAATTTATTTTTATTAATTTTTAATTTACGAATTTCAAAAGAAAATCACAAAGAAAAAATCATGTGCATGTCATGTAGGATTAGATATCATAAATTTCATGTCATTATGCCATGTCAATCATACAATGCCATGTCATTATACCACGTTATCTATGCCATGTCATTTAGTGATTGTATGTTTAGGGTCATTTAACTTAGAATCGCATGCCATGTTAGAATTAAGTCATGTTACATGTCATCACAGTAGCACATCATGCATGTTTACCCTAGGTTAGATTAGCATAATTTAGCATTCATTAAAAAGAAAAAACCAAAAAAATCAATTGCAATTGCACAATAATTAGAGAACATATTTAGGTTGAATATGCGTTTTTAATTAACATCGTTGCATATTTCTTTGCTTCGAGGTGAATAAATTCCTTCCCTACTTTAGCAATTTATTTATTGCTTTCGATTATTGAGTGTTAATTTCATTGATTGCGCACCCACATAATTATCCATTGCATGTTAGTGGATAAGGTTAAAATCAATCAAACTTGCCTGACAAATAATTTTTTTCTTGAAATTAAAAAATAAAAAAGTATCGAAAGGGCATTAGAGTAGTCTAGTGTAACCAAGTCCTAGAATTCATTTAATCTCTAGTTCGTGAAAATAAAATACTCACCCACACTTTACTTGGGTTTCTAATCGACCCCACCAAAAATTGATTAGTGGCTACCCTAAAATAAAATTGATTTTGCATGTTAATAACTTGAACTTAAGTTACGAATTGGTATGAGCTCGGGAGAGCCCGAGCTAAGTGTAGACTTAGTAATTCATTAGTCAAACGCTAGGGTGGTTCACCATTATAAGAGGTCGCGACAGCGAGTAGTTTAGATGGGTGATTTAAACCTAATTAGGAGTTAATGAGATCGCGAACATTTTTTGCCCGACTTGTATTGGGTTTTCGTTTCCTGCACTTCACTTGGATGCTTTTGGATACTTGGTTGTTTACTTTAAAAGTAATTTAAATAGCTTGTTTGTTAATTTCTTTTTCCAGAAAGGTTAGGTCTAGCTTTTGATCATACTGAACCCCTCAAGAACATTTGCATGAGAATTTAGCGACACCAATGCCTTTAGGTTCATAAATGGTAAAAATATTGTGTGACAACTTAAATGAACAAACTTCCAAGTTAGAGGTACCAAAACAGTGTTAATTGAAATATAAGAATAATCAAGTACCCGAACTAGAATCTCTGGTTACGTAGAAAATGAGACGACACTCCCGTGTCTTATTTGGTTTCTAGCCAACCCCAAATGGCTAGTGGTGATTCCTAGAAATCATTAGGCTTAAAACGAGTTTAAAACGAAATCCAACGTCCCGCGAGGTATGGACTTTGGAGAGCCCGCGCCTAATTAAGGGCCAATGGTCCGAATTAGGCAATACCCCTAAACTTCATCCCTTGTTCTCCCAATCACGTCAGAAAACTTTGGGAGGGTCGCCAACAGATGCAAATGCATTAATCTTAAATCTAAATGCGATAGAGAATGCAAGTTGAAAACCATGCAATATCAATATTTTTGTTTAGTGGTCAAACACAATCCCTAATTTTTCTTATAAGATGAATGATAAATTTACGAGCCAAAATTAAGATGTAAACAGAGAGTAACAGACTGTTATTGCTGAGTAGTGTGAATTGGATGCCGATCCAATCTAGTAGATTGGACAATTGTTTTACTTGACCATCTGCCATAATTTATTGTCGTAATAAATCACATGACTTACATCTTCTGGTCTAACTGACCTGAAGAACCAATAGGTAACAGGATTTCTTTCTCCTATCACAATCAAAAGCAGCATAAGTTCTTTTCAAACCCGGGTCCCGTACATGAACCCTCGTTTCCCTGGTACTACTGTTGTTCTTATTGACTTAGATGCTTGGAACATTATTGATACTGGCAGGAGAGTTTTATTTTGTAGAATTGAATGAAGAGTCTTGAGACTAATAAAAGATCTATCTCGACAGGTAGAGCTCTGGAGGGGACAATCTTGGTCTTGGATTGGCGACCAGGGGCTCCATTTTCTTGACCGCAAGCCCGGACTCGTCCGAGAATTCCAGCTCGACCCCTGGTGGTAATTCCCACTCGAACGAATGCAAAAGAGAGGCCAAAACATACAGTAGCATCCTTTCTGCCAGTGCAAGCCCCACACATATCCTCCGGCCGGAACCGAAAGGCATGTATGCAAAGTTGTTGCCCGAGAGATCATACTTGCTGGGATCTTCCAAGAACCTCTCAGGTCTAAACTCCGACGGTTTGTCCCAAATCTTGGGGTCCCTGTGGATATAACCCACGTTCAAGAATATGTTGCTGCCCTTTGGTATCATGTAACCCCCGACAACACAGGAAGCATGTGGGGTCCGCGGCAACAATAAGGGCAGCACCGGGTGCAAGCGAAGTGCCTCCTTGATGACAGCTTTGAGGTACTTTAATTTGGGCAAGTGATGCTCTTCGACCATCGCATCCTCCCCCACAACTTCTGTCAATTCGCGGACTACTTTGTTCATCACATTTCGGTTCTGCAACAACTCTGCCATCACCCACTCGACCATTGTTGACGTATCGGTTGCACCGATTACAATGTCCTATTCCACAAATTTGAAGTTTCATCAGAGAGAGTCAATTACTGTAATATTTGCTAAAGCTGAATACATAGAAAGCACTGCAATACAGAAGAATCGATGTTCCAGTTAAACTATGGAGCTTTTTGTGATGGAGAGGGCGAGGTTGCACCCAACCCAAGTTAGACCATAGGATATGAAACAAGAGGTACGAAAAGAAATTTCAATTTTGACATGATATGACCAACTTCATACGAAAATTGACACACAATAATTGAATTACCTTTGCATTAGATCAACTTTGCTATATTTGTATCACTGTTTTATAAGACGCTTTTTGAAAACTATGGTATTCTAGGGCTAATATGGATTTCAAAATGAGTATGATACTATAGTAATAATCGATTGACATTTACTCATGACTATGTCGGCTAAGATTTGAAATGAATTTATCAAGAACAGAGTTGCAGAAGAGGATTAACCCCACTTTCTGGTGCATTAGGTCATTAAATAGTCGTGCATGTTCATATAAGCATTAGTCACCTAGATTAATAAACTTACCACAAGAATGGCTTTGAGTACTCTATTCTTGTCCATCGGTGAGTGATTATCTTCAAGATTCATCTCCATATCCAGGAAAATCTGCAAAAAGTCCTTTTTCTGTTCATTGCTATTAGATTCCCCTTTCTCCTGCTTGAACAGTTCATTTGTTCTTCTTTGGGTGGCACAATCGACAACAGACTGAATAAAGGCATCCAGCCGCTGATGCACCCTTTTCATGTCCCTTTCCACTCCTTGCAGGTCAAGCCAAGCGAGTGCCGGGAAAAAGTCCGAAACATTTGGACTACCTAAGAGCACCATGAGTTTGGCTATCACCTTTCGAAACTCAGTGCCCACGGTTTTACGCTTTTCTCCCTGAAGTGTTCCTCCCCACAGCATCGCCATCACCGTGTTAACCAGGATCAGAAAGGCCAATTCGCCGATATCTACCGGCATCCCGGGTTTTCTATACAGATCGCTCAGAGCCTTCCTGACCGCCTGCCTTCTCAAACCGTAAAAGGCATCGAGGCTCCTGTTGCTCATCAACTGCCGTACAAACAGCTTGCGGAGATTCCTCCAATAAGGGCCCAGGCTTGAGAAGGCAATGTCCTTTCCGCCGTATGATAAGATAGTACTGGCAATGTTCGGGTCCCTATTGGCAAATTCTGTGTCTTGGTCCCGCACGATTTCTTTGGCCAGCGACGGGGAGTTAACAACAACATATAATTTGCTTCCGAGCCGGAGTTTGTAGATGGGGCCGTAGGTCTCGGCCAATTCAGCAAATTTCCGGTGGAGATTGGTCCCTAGGAATGGGAGGTACCCGAAGAACGGCACGCCTCGGGGCCCCGGCGGCAATGAAGCCGTTGTGTGGTTTCGCCTCCTGAACAAAGAGAAAACACTAAGAGCTGCTATTGCAATGACAAGCAGTGTTGTAGTAGCTCTAGGAATTGCATCACTCGTTTCTTTAGCATGCCACAACCATGGCCAAGCACCTTCGGAACCTGTGTTCGACATTTCGGCTTGTGACAACGGGAAGAGGACTGGATGAGCAAGAATTGGGATGTTTCTAGCCACGCCAACTATAGAAGGTCTTTGTAGCCACGGTCTGGGCTCTGATAGATGATATAGGATAGTTCGGTACGAAAAGTGAGTGGTCCTAGTTTGTACTTACACACATTGACACGCGACCAATTATTGTATACGAGGAAAACAGCCAGAATAATTAACCAAAAATGACCCGGGTGAACCAGTTTTTGGTTTATTAGAAGGATTTATAGTTTCTTAGTCGCACGTTCGACATTCCTCTGGATGCCAATTTAATTACGGTTAATATCACAAAAAAAACCTTAAATTGGTATAATTATGATAAATTTACCTTAAACTAACTTTTTGATCATAAAAAATTCCAAACTTGTACACATGTGATAGATTTACTCTAAATTAATTTTTTAACAACCAAAAACCTCAAACTGGTACATTTGTGACAAATTTACCCTCCATTAAATTAGATTAATATCACGAAAAATCACAAAATGGTACACTTGTGACAGGCGGAGGGGTAAAACCCCAAACTGATACACCCGTCAACTACCACGTGTCATCCAACTCAGAAATTTGATGATAAAATTTAACGGAACTAACAGAGGGTAAAATTATCACAAATGTACTAGTTTGGGGTAAATTTGTCATAAGTGTATCAGTTTGGGGTTTTTCGTGATATTAACCCATTTAATTATAAGTCATTCCATTTCTCTATATTGATTCTTATAATGACAAGTTTAAACGTAACTAATAATGTCTGTAACGTAACTGTAAATTTTACTATAGAAGACTAAGAATTTGCATGAGATTAGTAACTTATTCACGTGATTACTATGTTTTTGCATTTAATACGGAAGTACCAGCTATAACCGGCGAGGGCTTGGCGGCCCTCGTCCGTAGCCGGTGATGGCCTGTGCGAGGGCCGCAACCCTTGACTGCCACAATGAAAAAAAGAAAATAAAAGGAAAAATTGAAAAATTAATTAAAATATAATTAAAAATTATAAAAAAAAATTTTAGTTGTGCCACGTAGGACAGCTGATGTCCATGTTAGCAATTTTAGGTCAAAATTGACCGGATGGACTCAATTTGCACAAATGTAAAATGTTTATAACTAAATGGTCAAATTAAAAGATTTAGACTAAATTAGAACCGATATAATAAGTTTATGACTTTTTCGATACTTTTCCCATCAATCAGCCCACGTGGTCTAGAAAGTCACAATGAAGGTATATTGATTGAAAATTCATGAGTTCGATCACGTGCTTTGAAAACAACGTGGATCTGATTTTGCCCAGATGGGCCATGCGGGTGGATGCCTAACTCGGCATCGAATAGGTTAGGACAGGATAGTGATGTGGTGGCAACATTTCATGAGAAATTGGGTCATCTTGTTAGTTTCGATTTCAATCACTGCATTATCCTGCTGTCCATGCCCAGATTTCGGATCATTTGCCATAAATTATCATCGCAACAAGTGCGGGTTAGGCAAAATTAAAATGGACTTTATTAACGAGTCAGTCGGTCTACGGAAAATCGAAAAAAAAATTGCTCAGAAAGTGTTTTAGTATAATCGATGAATCATTCGAAATTATGGCGTCGAATGTATATGCAAAATTAAAATGGACTTCGTCATCGAATGTATATGCAAGACCTGAAACATGTTGCAAGACCTCGTCGGCCGTGGCCATGACTGCCACCGGAAAGAGGAGGGGAAAAAAGAGAGAAAAAAAAGAAAGGAAAAAAATAAAAAAGAAAAAATTCGGAAATTATTAAATATTATTAAAAATTATTTACGTTAGCGCCGGCCGTGCCATGTAGGCCAACTGGCGTCCATGTCAGCAATATCTGGCCAAAATTAGACAGAATGACTAAATTGGCATTATGTCAAAAAGTTTATGATTGAATTGACACTAAAAAAGAGTTTATGATTAAATTAGCACTAATACAATAGACGTAGAACTTTTATAAGACTTTTCCTGTCCAGAAGAAGTTACAAGCTCCGAGGTCATTGGGATTTCGCAACTGTCACCTGCTACTTGAACGGTCTTTTAAAATAGATTCATCCTCTTTGTCTTGTAATCCCAACACATGGTAGAATTTGTGGTGATCTATGACAAATGTGATAATGCATTTACTAAACCAATCATGAGAAAAAGAGGTAACCTTTTGAATAACAAGCAACAGCATACTAAATAAGCACGTCATTTCGCATCTAAACTCGGTTCCATTATCAGTTTATTGCACAAGCTCGGCTAATTCTTCACTTGGTATAACTAATGTATATTGAAAGAGCAAAATATTTTACATTGCTTGTTTATGTGATCTATATGCCATTTATATACATGTGTTCTTTTTTTATTTATCAGCTTAAGTTTTTTGATGGACTTTTTAGAGGTAGGTTCTGCTCCAATTTATTTCGCGTGTGTGGCCTCCAAGTTACCAAGTTTCACGTGTCGTTCATAATCCGACTTGTATTGAAGTGTCCCACATCCTTTGCCTACGGGATTACTATACTCTTTATGCGCCCGTGTATCTCTCATCTTAATAGTATAAAGTTTGTGGATTAAAATGATAAGTAGTGTTTGCATCATTTATTTCTTTAGCATGCCACAGCCACGGCTAAGCGCCATCGGAAGCTGCGTTTGAAATTTCCGCTTGTAACATCGGGAAGAGGACTAATCGGGTGAGATTTAGAAAGTTTTTAGCCACACAAACAATAGAAGGTCTTTGTAGGTACGGTTTGGTCTCTGATGGATGATATAGGACACTTTAATACGAAAAGTGAGTGGTCCCGATTAGCATTTGAGTTAATATCACAAAAAACCCTAAATTAACTTTATGACCACCAAAAACCTCAAATTGATACATTTATGATAAATTAATCCTATGTTAAATTGGATTAATACAAAAAAAAATCACAAATCAATACATTTGTGACAAACGGAAAATAAAACCCCAAATTAGTACTTCTCTCAACTGTCACGTCTCATTTAACTTAGCAATTTAACAGTAAAATCTATCAGAAACTAACGAAGGGTAAATTTGTCACATGTATTAGTTTGTGATTTTTGATAGTAAAAAATTAGTTTGAGATAAATTTGTCATAGATATACCAGTTTAGAGTTTTTTTTGGTATTGACCCTTAATATTTTAACACACCAACACGTGACCAATTATTGTAAATGATTAAACTACCAGAATAATTAAACAAAAATGACCTGGGTGAACCAGTTTTTGTCTTATTAGAAAGATTTACGGTCTCTTAGTTGCATGTTCAGCATTTCTATGGATATCAATTTAATTATAGTGAAAATGACATAAATGATCTCTGAATTTTAGTTCAATATGTAATGTGGATCATGAATTTTTAATTTTTTTCAATGTGGTCCTTGAACTGTAATACAACGTGCAAAATGATTCTCGAACTTTTAATTTATTCAATGTGGTCCACGAACTTCTAATACATGTTCAATTTAGAACTAAATTGATCAAATTAAAAGGTTTAGACTGAATTGAAAACAATGCAATAAGTTTATGACTTTTTGGGTACTTTCCCCCTCAATAAGCCCACGTGGTCTAGAAAGTAACAATTAAGGTAAATTGATTGAATATTTATGAGTTCAATTACGTGCTTCGAAAACATCGTGGATCTGATTTTGCCCAGCTGGGCTATGTGGGTGGATGCCTAACTCGGCATTGAATAGGTTAGGAAAGGATAGTGATGTGATCGCAACATTTCATGAGAAATTGGGTCATCTTGTTAGTTTCGATTTTCCATTAATGCATTATCCTGCTGTCCATGCCCAGATTTCGGATCATTTGCCATAAATTATCGTCACAACAAGTGCGGGTTAGGCAAAATTAAAATGGACTTTATTAACGAGTCAATCGGTCTACGGAAAATCGAAAAAAAAATTGCTTAAAAAGTGTTTCAGTATAATCGATGATTCAATAGAAATTAAGGCGTCGAATGTATATGCAAAATTAAAATGGACTCTGTCGTCAAATGTATATGCAAGACCCGAAACATGTTGCAAGACCTCGTCGGCCGTGGCCATGACTGCCACCGGAAAGAGGAGGGGAAAAAAGAGAGAAAAAAAAGAAAGGAAAAAAATAAAAAAGAAAAAATTCGGAAATTATTAAATATTATTAAAAATTATTTACGTTAGCGCCGGCCGTGCCATGTAGGCCAACTGGCGTCCATGTCAGCAATATCTGGCCAAAATTAGACAGAATGACTAAATTGGCATTATGTCAAAAAGTTTATGATTGAATTGACACTAAAAAAGAGTTTATGATTAAATTAGCACTAATACAATAGACGTAGAACTTTTATAAGACTTTTCCTGTCCAGAAGAAGTTACAAGCTCCGAGGTCATTGGGATTTCGCAACTGTCACCTGCTACTTGAACGGTCTTTTAAAATAGATTCATCCTCTTTGTCTTGTAATCCCAACACACGGTAGAATTTGTGGTGATCTATGACAAATGTGATAATGCATTTACTAAACCAATCATGAGAAAAAGAGGTAACCTTTTGAATAACAAGCAACAGCATACTAAATAAGCACGTCATTTCGCATCTAAACTCGGTTCCATTATCAGTTTATTGCACAAGCTCGGCTAATTCTTCACTTGGTATAACTAATGTATATTGAAAGAGCAAAATATTTTACATTGCTTGTTTATGTGATCTATATGCCATTTATATACATGTGTTCTTTTTTTATTTATCAGCTTAAGTTTTTTGATGGACTTTTTAGAGGTAGGTTCTGCTCCAATTTATTTCGCGTGTGTGGCCTCCAAGTTACCAAGTTTCACGTGTCGTTTATAATCCGACTTGTATTAAAGTGTCCCACATCCTTTGCCTACGGGATTACTATACTCTTTATGCGCCCGTGTATCTCTCATCTTAATAGTATAAGTTTATGGATTAAAATGATAAGTAGTGTTTGCATCATTTGTTTCTTTAGCATGCCACAGCCACGGCTAAGCGCCATCGGAAGCTGCGTTTGAAATTTCCGCTTGTAACATCGGGAAGAGGACTAATCGGGTGAGATTTAGAAAGTTTTTAGCCACACAAACAATAGAAGGTCTTTGTAGGTACGGTTTGGTCTCTGATAGATGATATAGGACACTTTAATACGAAAAGTGAGTGGTCCCGGTAAGCATTTGGGTTAATATCACCAAAAACTCCAAATTAACTTTTTAATCACCAAAAATCTCAAATTGATACTTTTACGATAAATTTATCCTCTATTAAATTGGATTAATACAAAAAAAAATAAAAAATCACAAACCAATACATTTGTGACAAACGGAGAATAAAACCCCAAATTAGTACTTCTATCAACTATCACGTGTCATTTAACTTAACAATTTGACAATAAAATTTATCAAAAACTAACGAAGGGGTAAATTTGTCATGTGTACTAGTTTGAGGTTTTTGGTAATCAAAAAATTAGTTTGGAAGTCAAAAAATTAGTTTGGAATAATTTGTCACCGATGTACAAGTTTAGAGTTTTTCGTGGTATTGACCCTTAGTATTTTAACACACCAACATGTGACCAATTATTGTAAATGATTAAACTGCCAGAATAATTAAACAAAAATGGCCCGGGTGAACCAGTTTTTGTCTTATTAGAAAGATTTACAGTCTCTTAGTTGCATGTTCGACATTTCTATGGATGCCGATTTAATTATAGTGAAAATGACACAAATGATCTCTGAACTTTAGTTTAATATATAATGTAGACCATGAATTTTTAATTTTTTCAATATGGTCCCTGAACTGTAACCCAATGTGCAATATGGTTCTTGAACTTTTAATTTGTTCAATGTGGTTCATAGACTTCTAATACATGTTCAATTTAGTCCTTGAACTATATGAAAATATTCAATGTTGTCCCTGAACTTGAAATAATGGAATGACAACATTGAATATTTTCATATAGGTCAGAGTCTAAGTTGAACATGTACCAAAAGTCTAAAAAACATATTGAATAAATTAAAAGTTCATAGACCGCATTGCATATCGGCCCAAAGTTCAAGTACCATTCGTGTCATTATCCCTTAATTATATGTCATTCCATTTCTCTATGTTGATTCTTGTAACGTCAAGTTCGATCATAAACTAATAATTTCTGTAATGAAATAGTAAGTCTTACTATAGAAGACTAAGAATTTGCATGAGGTTAGTGACTTAGTCACGTGATTAGTAAGTTTTTGCATTTAATACGTAACTTTTGGACCTGTTTGATTAGAAAATGTTCTGCATTGGCAAGCAAGAGTCGATCTGCCCACGTGGTCTAGAAGCAACAATTTATATTGATCGAGAATTTGTGAGTTCAATTACATTCTTCGAAAACAACGTGGATCTGCCATGCGGGTGGATGCCTAACACGGCATTGAATAGGTTTGGAAAGGATAGTGATTTGGTCGCAACATTTCGTGAGAAATTGGGTCATCTTGCTAGTTTTGATTTTTCAATTGATGCATTATCCTGTTGACTTCTTCTCAATTTCCTCTCAAACTCCAAATCTCCCGGATAACTCCTCTTTTTGACCGAATCCATCCCTCCAAGTCACAATTTTTCAAATTCTGTTCTCCAAATTGGTCTATTCCAGCCGTGTTTCATCCGTTTCCAAATCTGGTCGTTTTAGTCTTTATGGAATCCATGTGGGAGTGAGAGATTAGATTGGATTAGAGAGATAAGGATGTGCAATGAGAGATCTTGTTAGATTAGGTAGAGAAAATCCAAACACAACTAGGTTTCTTTGTTTGATCCTTATCTTGACTCTATCTTAATTTAATCTTGAATAGGAATTTGAACTGATGTTGAGTCCAAATTTGATCTCGAAAAGTTATGCCGAATCAAAACAAGTTTCACCAAAAAGTTGTTAGAAAGATGAGAAACGCATTTCGCAAGATTTGCCCTCTCAAACTCAATGCAACGAGATAAATAACTAGAGAAGCGCTCTTATAGCATGGTTCTTCCTATTTTTGAGAAATTTCGTGTTTTCCATAACATTCATCTCGAAAAGTTATGCGGAATCAAAATAAATTTCGACAAAAAAAGTCGTCGGAAAGTTGAGATATGTTGCATTGAGTTTGAGATGGCAAATCTTCCGGAGTGGGTATCTCATCTTTTTAGAAACTTTTTTTTGGCAAAATTTGTTTTGATTTGACGTAACTTTTCGAGAAAAATGTCCTAGAAAACACGAAGTTTTTCGAAATTCGTTATTGTCTTGTTGCATTGAATTTGAGGGGGCAAATTTTCCGGAGTGCGTATCTCATCTTTTCAACAACTTTTAACCGCCTCACCAAGACTAATCAAGATTTCGCCAACATGGATCATCTCATCTTGAAATTCGGTCAATACGCTTAGATTTTTTAGCAAGACACACGAGCGAGAGTCTTCTGGTTGAGTCAGACAACTGAACTCTTGTGAAGACACTTCAAGGAGCAGATCACTTCACATGGGAAGCAGACGTACTTATCACCGAAGCAGACAATTACGGGCTTTCCGAATTTGAGATCGGCCCACTCCAACAGAAAGTCCAACAAGGTAGCGGATTGAATTGCTAAAGCCCAAAGGAATAGATCCCTACCTCATAATTGGCTATCTAGCCCTCCTGAAGCCCTATTGGCCTTACTTGTTTCTGAATCAAGTCTTTTGTGCAATGGATTACGGTTATTTTGACCAAAAAAAAAAAAATCAACCTTGGTCGAACTTGGTCAAGATGAGCACCAATCTTGGAAATATTATCCACCGTGGCCAAATCAGGACTAATTCTCACACCCATGAAATTTAAGATAACCTCCCATCATCTTTGAAATGAAGACATAGCTCCCACTTTATTGGAATTAGGACGTGTCTCCCAATTTTTGTATTTTTTTTGGAGCTCTGTCCAAATCAACTATCTTAAAGCTCCAAAAGGTTGGAAACATTAATCCTAGGGAAAAGTGTCAAAAAAGTCCTCAAGCTTTGGCATCGGTGCCAATTGAGTCCTAAACCTTTTTTTGGTGCCAATTCAGTCATAAACCTTTTGCATTTGTGCCAATTCAATCATAAACCTTTTGTCCTTGTGCCAATTCAGTCCTTCCGATCAATTTTGTCCGGATTTTACTGACGTTGATGCCGGCCGGTCACCGACGCTGACGTGAACAACTTTTAATAATATTTTAATTTTTTTGAATTTTAATTTTTTTCCCCTCCCCTCTCTCCTTCCTCCAGCTGGTCGCCGGACTGCGGACCGGCCAAAGGCTAGAGGCCGGCGAGGTCGACCTCGTCAACCACTAGCAAGGCTTGCCCTCGCTAGCGACGGCAAAGGCGAGCCTCGCCATGGTTGGGCGAGGTTGGACCTCCCCAGATCTGGCGAGGTCGTGCCTTGCCCAGCCGCCGTCAAGGCTCAACCTCCCCAGATCCGGCGAGGTCGGGCCTCGTCTAGCCGTTGGCAAGGTTCGAGCCCTTGCCAGAGGCCTTCGACCTCGCCGCCTCTAAAAAAATATTCAAAAAATATTAAAATATTATTAAAAGTTGTCCGCGCAGGTGGCTGATCGGCGTTCACGTTAGCAAAATCACGCAAAACTTGGCTAGAAGAACTGAATTGGCACAAAATAAAAGGTTTATGATTGAATTGGCACAAAAAAAGGTTTAGGACTAAATTGGCATCAATGCAAAAAGGTTTAGGACTGAATTGGCACAAAAAAAAAAGGTTTATGACTAAATTGACGTCAATGCAAAAGGTTTAGGACTTTTTTGACACTTTTCCCTTAGTACTAGATCAAAATGCCTCTAGCACCTACAGGCAAAATGCGATAGAGAATGCAAGTGCAAAACCATGCAATATTAATATTTTTGTTTAGAGGTCGAGTTCGATCCCTAATTTTTCTTATAAGATGAATTATAGATATACAAGCCCAAATTAAGGTATAAACAGAGTGTAACAAACTGTTATTACTGAGTAGTGGGAATTGGACGCAGATCAAATCTAGTGGACTGGACAATTGTTTTACTTGATCGTCTGCCAATGTTTTGTTGTAATAAATGTCATTGATATTTTGGCAAAATCAAAGTGGACTATTATGAGAAAAAGTCAGTCAATCCATGGAAACTCTACCTATTTGATTGAAAAAAAAGCATTACAGAATACTTCATCTTCTGGTCTAACTGACCTGAAGAACCAGCAGATAACAGGATTTCTTTCTCCCATCACAAACAAAAGCAGCATAAGTTCCTTTCAAACCCGGGTCTAATTGAGTAGATGCTTAAAACATGATCGATACTGGCAGGATCCGTTTATTTCGTAGAATTGAAATGAAGAGTCTTGAGACTCATAAAAAGATCTATCTCGACATGTAGAGCTCTCGAGTGGACAATCTTGGCCTGGGAATGGCGACCAGGGGCTTCATTTTCTTGACCACAATGCCGAACTTGTCCGAGAATTCCAGCTCAACCCCTGGCGGTAATTCCCACTCGAACGAATGCAAAAGAGAGGCCAAAACATACAGTAGCATCCTCTCTGCCAGTGCAACCCCCGCGCACATCCTTCGACCGGAACCGAACGGCATGTACGTGAAGTTGTTGCCCGAGAGATCATACTTGCTGGGATCTTCCAAGAACCTCTCGGGTCTAAACTCCAACGGTTTGTCCCAAATCTTGGGGTCTCTGTGGATATAACCTACGTTCAAAAATATGTTGCTGCCCTTCGGTATTGTGTAACCACCGACGACACAGGAAGCATATGGGGTCCTAGGCACCAATAAGGGCAGCGCCGGGTGCAAGCGAAATGCCTCCTTCACGACAGCGTTGAGGTACTTTAATTTTGGCAAGTGATGCTCTTCGACCATCTCATCCTCCCCCACAACTTCTGTCAATTCGTGGACTACTTTGTTCATCACATTTCGGTTCTGCAGCAACTCTGCCATCACCCACTCAACCATTGTCGAAGACGTATCAGTTCCACCGATTACAATGTCCTATTCCACAAATTTGAAGTTTCATCAGAGAGAGTCAATTACTGCAATATTTGCTAAAGCTGAATACAGAGGAAGCACTGCAATAGAGAAGAATCGACGTTCTAGTTAAAATATGGAGCTTTTTGTGATGGAGAGGGCAAGGTTGCACACAACCTAAGTTAGACAATAGTAGACGAAACAAGAGGTATGGAAGGAGATTTGACTCTTGACATGATACGACCAACTTCATACGAAATTTGGCACGCAATAATTTAAATACCTTTGCATTATATCAACTTTGCTATAATTGTTTCAATATTTATAAGACGCTTGTTGAATGTTACGGTATTCTAGGGTTAAAATAGATTTGAAAACGAGTATGATCCTTTAGTAATAATCGCTTGTCCTTTACTCATGATTATGGTGGCCAAGATTTGAAATGATTTTACCAAGAACAAAGTTGCAAAAGAGGATTAACTGCACTTTCTGGTGCATCAGGTTATTAAAGTTGACTACCTAGCTTAATAAACTTACCATAAGCACGGCTTTGAGTGCTCCACTCTTGTCCATTGGTGGCTGAATATCTTCAAGATCCATCTCCATATCCAGGAAAATCCGCAAAAAGTCCTTTTTCTGTTCATTGCTTTTAGATTCTCCTTCCTTCTGCTTGAACAGTTCATTTGTTGTTCCTTTGGTGGCGCAATCGATAACCGACTGAATAAAATCATCAAACCACCGATGCACCCTTTTTATGTCCCTTTCCACTCCTTGCAGGTCAAGCCAAGCGAGTGCCGGGAAAAAGTCCGAAACATTCGGACTTCCTAAGAGCACCATGAGTTTGGCCGCCGCCTTTCGAAACTCGATGCCCATGGCTTCGCCCTTGTCTCCCTGAAGCGTTCCTCCCCACAGCATCGCCATCACCGCATTAATCAAGGTCAGAAGGGCCAATTCGCCGACATCTACTGGCACCCCAGGATTTCTGTACAGATCGCTTAGAGCTTTCCTGACCTCCTGCCTTCTCAAACCGTAACAGGCATCGAGGCTCACGTTGCTCATCAACTGCCGTACAAACAGTTTGCGTAGATTCCTCCAATAAGGACCCTGGCTTGAGAAGGCAATGTCCCTTCCGCCATATGATGCGACAGCAGCGGCGATGTTCGGGTCCCGATTGGCGAACGTCATGTCCTGGTCCCGTACGATTTCTTTAGCCAGCGACGGGGAGTTAACAACCACATATAATTTGCTTCCGAGATGGAGTTTGTAGATGGGGCCGTAGGTCTCAGCCAATTCAGTGAATTTCTGGTGAAGATTGGTGCCTAGGAATGGGAGGTACCCGAAGAACGGCACGCCCCGGGGCCCCGGCGGCAATGGAGCCGTCGCGTGGTTTCGCCTCCTGAACAAAGAGAAAAAACTAAGAGCTGCTATTGCAATGACAAGCAGTGCTGTAGTAGCTCTAGGAATGCCATCATTCGCTTCTTTAGCATGCCACAACCACGGCCAGGCGCCATCGGAATCTGCGTTCGACATTTCGGATTGTGGCAACGGGAAGAGGACTGGTTGAGCAAGAATTAGGAAGTTTCTAGCCACACCAACTGTAGAAGGTCTTTGTAGAGACGGTTTGGTCTCTGATAGATTACATAGAACAGTGTGCCACGATAAGCGAGTGGTCCCAGTAGCATTTACTCACACTGACACGCGACCAATTATTGTAAACAATAATGACCCGGGTGAACCTGTTTTTGTCTTCTTAGAAAGATTTAGGCTGTGTTCGTTTGCGAAAAAATATTTTTCCGCAAAATATTTTTTGCGTTTTCCGGTGTTCGGGGGCGAAAACACCCCCAAATCTTTCATTATTTTGAGGAAAATGATTTCCTCTTTTCACAAAAAGGAAATCATTTTCCCCCAAAGTGAAGGCAAAATCTGCCCATGGGAGGGAAAATGTTTTTCGTGAGAGAGGAAGTTGATCGCCGGTTACCGCCGTTGGCCGCCCACCGCCGCGGGGTCGCCGGCCGCCCACCCGCGCGGCCGCCGGCCGCTCGCGGCCGCTGACCGCCCTTGCCGCCGCCGTCCGCGCGCGGCCACGCCACCGCCAGCCGTAGCCTCCAATTTAATTGTAAAATAACTGTAACTCAACGTGCAATATGATTCCTGAACTTTTTTGATATGATCCGTTAACTTTGGATACATGATCTATAATCCTTTAACTTTTCAAATTCAAACATTTTTATATTGTTCAGGGACTATATTGAACATGTACTAAATGTTTAGGGATTATATTGAATAAATTAAAAGTTCGGAGATCACATTGTATATTGAGGTAAAATTCAGGGACTACATTAAACAAATTAAAAGTTCGGGATCACATTATATATTGGGCAAAAATTTATAAACTATTTATATCAATTTTTCGAACCAATAATGGCAAAGCTGGGTGCAAGCGAAATGCCTCCTTGATGACACCGTTGATGTACCTTAATTTGGGCAAGTGGTGCTCTTGGACCATCTTATGCGATCCCATGCAAGTGGTGCTCTTGGACCATCTTATCCGACCCCGAGACTTCTGTACTACTTTGCTGTTCACATTTCGGTTATGCATTAGAAATTTCTAATAGAAATAATGTGAAAAATGAGTTAGATATTTTGTTGTGTTAATCCAAAAACAAGATAAGATCCCAGCAAAACCACAAAGTGATGTATACACTTTAATTTTCTCCACATCAAAAATCAATTGGAAAAAATATACATACCAAGAATGCTGCCTCTGTTTTTATTAATTTAATGCCAAAATAATTTTAACAGTATTTAATTTATACCTAGGAACCAAATAAAATCTGAGGTCTGTAGAGTTCGCGGAGCTCAACAATTTTCGGGACCATTTTAAGGATATTGCTATAGCTATTTTGGCTCACCTTTTTTTTATTGTTTATTTCTTTCCATTTCTTTTCGGGGGTCAATGATGAACAAAATTATCCTTGTGAAATGCACCGTACTGTACTTTACATTCCTATCGTCCGCCCTATGAAATGCACATCTTATTGAAAAGGTTTGATATCATGAAAAATTTCAAATCGGTGCACTCGTGATAAATTTATTCCAAACTAATTTTTTGATCATTAAAAACCCCAAATTGATATATCTGTGATAAATTTACTCAAAACTAATTTTTTTACTATAAAAAACTCCAAATCGGTACACCTGCGATAAATTTTCCCTACGTTAAATTTGTTTAATACCATGAAAAATCATAAATTGGTAGACCCGTGACAAACGGAGGGATAAAACCTCAAATTGGTATACTCGTCAACTGTCATGTATCATCTAACTTAGCAATTTGACAGTAAAATTTAACGGAAACTAACTGAGAGTAAATTTGTCAAAAGTGTACCAGTTTATGATTTTTGGTGGTCAAAATTAGTTTGAAATAAATTTGTCATAGGTATATCAATTTGAAATTTTTTGTGGTATTAACCCTATTGAAAATAGACCACATCTATCTCGACGAAATCGATGACGATTAGCAACAATCAATAAAAGGTTGTTGATCTTATAATAAAATTAGAAATTGAATTCAGCCCCTAAACGAAAATATCAATGTTGCGCAGTTCGCATTTGCATTGTACATTGCATCTAGGTTCTAATGGCATCAAGGACTAACTCATTGGCATTAAGCATGTTGTAGGGAACCGGAGATGAACCTGGTAGGTGGCCAGACATAAAATATTAGCTTAAGTTTGGTGTGGGGAATGAGCTCAAACTTAAATTCAACGAAAGAGATGAGCTCCGAAATCAACTTCCCTACTTTCTTGGAGTTTAAGCTCAAGTTTGGCATGAGGGATGGCATAAGAGGAGCTCGAATGCAAGTTTCCATCATTCTTGAAGCTCGAAGGTAGCTCGACGAGCTCGGAGAAGTGAATTCCAAACTTGTGGAAGCTTTGTCTTGATTCCAAGATGATGGAAACTAGTTTTCCAACATTCTTGGAATCTTGTTTTAATTCCAATATCCTAAGACTATGTCTTAATTCTAACACTTTTTGTCCTAATTCGAACATCCCTGGATCATGTCTTAATTATTTAGGGTTAATATTACAAAAAATCTCAAACTGGTATACATGTGACAAATTTATCCAAAATTAATTTTTTGACCACCAAAAATTTCAAACTGGTATACTTGTGACAAATTTACCCTCAGTTAGTTTTCATTAAATTTTACAGTCAAATTGCTGAGTTGGATGACACGTTACAGTTAATGGGTATACTAGTTTGGGGTTTCAACCCTCCGTTTGCCACATGTATACAAGTTTGTGACTTTTCGTGGTATTAATTCAATTTAACGGAAACTAATGGAGAGGTTTTTGGTGGTCCAAGAATTAGTTCAGGGTAAATTTGTTACAGGTGCGCTCGTTTGGGTTTTTGGTAGAAAAAAAATTAGTTTTGAGTAAATTTATCACAAGTATATCAGTTTGGGATTTTTCATGGTATTAATCCTAATTAGAACGTGGGAGTTGGTCTTAAATTGGATAGGGCAGTTAAGGCACCACTTGTATCAATCTTGGCCGTCCATCGTGCCCTTAATCACATGCCTCCACGTCTCACTTCCATGGACAAGCGCACATAGGATTATGCACTTCTTGTGGCCGGCATTGCATGTACACACATGCTTCGCTTGCTCCCCTTTAATCCTCGCTTATCCATTCCTAATCCCTCTAATCTCCACCCTTCATCTCTAATTAACTTCATCCAACGGCTATCCCTCCCTCCTCCTATGCTTTTGATTATGGTGGCTCTCCATCTAATTCCCCCTTTTTGGCCTTCGAAGGGGAGTCTCCACCGTCCACTCTTATCTCGATTAATCACAACCGTCCATCTAATCTAGGCCTCTCCTAGTCCTAATCCACCTAGGACAACCAATGCCTATAAATAGGGGGGATGGCTGGCCACTTAAGGAAACACACGACACTCGGCTTCCTCTCTCTCTGTCACAAGCACTCTCATACCCATAGTTAATTAAATTAGGTGGGTAGTTAATTTTGGCTTTTGTTTAATTTTGGTTTTTTAATTAATGAACTTATGCATGCGAAAAAAAGAGCTCTGCTAGGGCAAGAACAAAGCAAAGAGCGATTACACGAGAAAATGTTTCTGAGCTTTCTTCACGAGAATTAGCGGCACTATAAAAAGACATGTCCTCCTTACTACTGCCCTCTCGACATTCTCTTGTTCTTTCTCAAGAAGAGAGAGACCAACTAGATGAGAGTAAGAAAAAAGCAAAAATGAGTTTCGAATGTGGGGTTGGCGCTAGGGTGCGATGGATCGACCCACTTATCTTGAAACCCTTTAGGACAAAAATAGTGGTATCGGGTTTCTATTGTATCCTAGTGATTCAACCTTGTTCCAAGGCCTTGGAACAAAAGAAAAAACGGTCTTGGATGATTTTTAATCGCGATTCAATCTTGTTCCTCCTACCAAAAGATAAAAACCTTATCAAGGGACTTGGAACAAAAGAAAAAACCTTATCAAGGGCCTTGGATGATTTTTAATCGCGATTCAACCTTGTTCCTCCGACCAAAAGAAAAAACCTTATCAAAGCATTACCTACCAATTCAACCTTGTTCCTCTGACCAAAAGAAAAAACCTTATCAAGGGCCTTGGATGATTTTTAATCGCGATTCAACCTTGTTCCTCCGACCAAAAGAAAAAACCTTATCAAAGGCCTTGGATGATTTTTAATCATTACCTACCGATTCAACCTTGTTCCTCTGACCAAAAGAAAAAAACCTTATCAAGGGACTTGGAACAAAAGAAAAAACCTTATCAAGGGCCTTGGATGATTTTTAATCACGATTCAACCTTGTTCCTCCAACCAAAAGAAAAAACCTTATCAAAGGCCTTGGATGATTTTTAATCATTACCTACCGATTCAACCTTGTTTCTCTAACCAAAAGAAAAAACCTTATCAAGGGCCTTGGAACAAAAGAAAAACCTTATCAACGGCCTTGGATGATTTTTAATCATTACCTACTGATTCAACCTTGTTCCTCTGACCAAAAGAAAAAACCTTATCAAGGGCCTTGAATGCTTTTTAATCACTACCTAGTGATTCAACCTTATTCCTCTAACCAAAAAACCTTATCAAGGGTCTTGGATGATTTTTAATCACTACCTTGCGATTCAACCTTGTTCCTCTGACCAAAAGAAAAAACCTTATTGAGGGCCTTGGAACAAAAGAAAAAACCTTATCAAGGGCCTTGATGATTTTTATTCACTACTTAGCAATTTAACTTGTTCCTCCGACCAAAAAACAAGAAACTTATAAACAGTTTTGAGTCAAGCGCCTTGGATGATTTTTAATCACTACCTAGCGATTCATTTTAATCACAACCTAACCATTCAACCTTGTTCCTCCGACCAAAAAAATGAAACTTATCAACAGTTTTGAGTCAAGGGCCTTGGATGATTTTTAATTGCTACCTAGCGATTCAACCTTGTTCCTCCGACAAAAAAATAAAATCTCGAATTCCTAACTTTGATCCAAATACGGCTACTATGAACAAAGTGGCTGCGTGGGTTCACATTCCTCATCTACAGATGGAGTATTTGATGGAGTATTTAATGCGTTC